AGCTAGAACCGAGCTCAACAAGAACTAGGAGCCAAACACAACCCCCCAACAAGAAACAAAGCCAAAACCGAGCTCAACAAGAACTAAAGCCAAAGCTGAACTCGACAAGATTAAAAACAGGCCCAAACATTGATATAAATTCATATTTTAATAGAAATTAAAGTTCCAACCACCTGTAGGCAAAAACCGAGTCGTCCAAAGCCAAGAAACAACCTGCATGTTTAAACATTCCAAGCATGAAATTATTCCAACAAATATATGAACAGGGGAGATGCCTCATGAAGAGTTAAGTCAAATTCTCAAAACAAGATACAAGGCTTTCCAAATTAAATAAGTTTTCTTATAACATATATTTCAAGCCAGGGAAAGCGGCAGAAAGCCATAACCGAGCCCCCACATATGTATAAGAAGTAAAGCGAACTCCCTAGCATTCATCTTAAGCAAGAACCAGTCATAAGATGCTAAAGCCGAAATCCCAACATGCTTACAAGAGGAGCAAAAATCACTTCAAAGTCATGCCTTAACTCCCTAAATGTTTCCAACATAAACATGCCACAATAATCATAAGGATGAACCAGTCATAAGATGCTAAAGCCGAAATCCCAACATGCTTACAAGAGGAGCAAAAATCACTTCAAAGTCATGCCTTAACTCCCTAAATGTTTCCAACATAAACATGCCACAATAATCATAAGGATGCCATAGTCTCCCTAGTTTAATAGAAATTAAAGTTCCAACCACCTGTAACAAAGTCTAGTTTTAACACATGCTCACATTTTCATTTCCAAATGCACTTGAAGTGAATATCTCAAGAAAATATATCCAAATAAAACGAGCTAGCATGCTGTATTCTCCAACAGAGCCAAGTTCAAAGACTCGGCAGAGAGGAAAACCGACAGGGCACCGAAGAAGGGGGGAAGAGAGGGGTACCTCAAGAATGCTAAAACACAGCAGCACAAGAAACCACCTCAAAGAAATGCTCTCCCAGAAATCTCCTTTCCTCTCCTCTAAAAAAAACTTTTCTCAACAACCTCAAAAATTTCAAAAGGAACTGTGTATATAGGCAGAGAATAGAGAGGAGAGAAAGAAGACCACCCTCAACAGTCCACAACATTCGAATCGGGCCAAAAAAGAAAAGAATACGCTCCCTGCTCACAGAAGGCGAAGCCAACGACATCTCTCGGACCGAGCGGCGAGAGCAATGGCAGCGAGGGAAACATCGGGAAGAGGAGGAGAAATGCCATTCCAGTCCACAACACTCGAATCGAGCTTAAATGTGTTGTATTAGGGTTTAGAAGGGAGTTTTTTTGCATGAGTTTGTTTAGGACAACCACTGACATCTATTTTCTCCTGTCCGAGGGATTGGGTGGTGCTTCAATTATATTTCTCTCCCGAAGTGGTGGTTATCTTACCCTATCCTTTCCGCATCCTCCCAAATCGCTCACAGCTGCCCCTTTCTTGTTGTAACTGTCTGGAACAACCTTTTTTTGGTTGTTTTCTACAGTTAATGCTTTACAGCCTCCCTTCCCCGCCTCGTTGCCATCCTGCATTGCCGCATCCATCCTTCTCCAACCTTCCCGCATCACTCTCAGTAGCCAACCTATTGTGGTAAACGACGACAATAAAGTGAAAAATTGGAACGAGAAAATTCGCAAACAGAAAAAACACACAAATTTACGTGGTTCAACAATTTTGCTTACGTTCACGGAGTTGCAGAGGATTTTATTACTTTGAGGAATTACACCGTCGTCGATCGCCTCGACGATTACAAGAAACAACTTCCCTCTCCCTCTCTCTATGATCACCTACTCTCTCTATCTCTCTTCCCGAGAGAGCAACATCCGAAGGACTAGGAAGCACTGTCTTGTGATACCATCTTCCCGTGAGCCGCACAGTAGGAGAGCACTAAGGGTGCAACAACCCTGCGATACTTGTTCTCGTTCTGCCGCGAGCCAACGCCGAAGAAGAACACAAGGGGAGTCGTAGACGTGTGATTCTTTTTTCACCCGTAAACCAACACAAAAGAAAAATGAGGGAGAGCAGGAAACAAGAATTTTTCTTACTATTTTTCTCCATTTCTTCTTCTGCAAGCATTTAATGGTGGCGGGACCTACCAAGGTAAAAGAAGCAGGATTTCTTTGGGCGGGAGGCGGGGACAGTTGAAGAAAAGGATGATGCAACCATCGGATGATACAACCAGTGGATGATGCATCATATGTACCAGTCTCCAAGTGGGATATTTGTTAAATATGTGGAGACAGGTCCATGCGAGGAACGCGAGGAAAAAAAAGCAACTGTTCCCGCCTTCTGCCATAAGTAATTTCGCTTCTTTTGCCTTGGTAGGTCCCACCACCATTAAATGCTTGCAGAAGAAGAATTGGAGAAAAAATTGTAAGAAAAATTATTGCTTCCTGTCTCCCTCGTTTTTCTTTTGCGTTGGTTTACCGGTTAAGAAAGCATCGCACGGCTACGACTCCCCTTGTGTTCTTCAATGTTGGTTCACGACAGAAGAAGAAGAAGTATCGCAAGGCTGCTGCACCCCTTAGTGCTCTCTTACTGTGCGGCTCACGGGAAGATGGTATCGCAAGGCAGCACTTCCTAGTCCTTCGGCTGTTGCTCTCTCGAGTAGAGAGATAAAGAGAGTAGGTGATCAGAGAGAGAGGGAAAGGGAAATTGTTTCTTGTAATCGTCGAGGTGATCGACAGCTATCGGACGGTATAATTCCTCAATGTAATAAAATTCTCTGTAACTCCGTGGATGTAGGCAAAATTGTCGAACCACGTAAATCTATGCGTTCTTTACTGTTTGCGAATTTTCTCGTTTTATTGCCATCGTTTGCCACAACACAACCCACATTGCTGCCATCCCTAAAATAGAAAATCTGTCGTTTTCCTACTGTCCACCCACCACTGTCCATCCTGCTGTCCACCCACCATTCCAACTTGCTGCTGCCTAGACCACAGCACCTCACTGTCCCAGCCCTCTGTTTTGCTGTCCAAACTACCCACAACCCATTTCAGCCACTTATTTCTGCTCGACAACCTAGCCGAACTCCACCACCACGAGATTGGGCCCTAATGTGAGTGTCTTGTGTTTGTTGTAATTTTTTTTTTCAGTTGTGTTTGATTGTAACCTTTTTTTTACTTTTTATATTATGGTGGGAAAACCCGAAGAGGGAGAGATGAAGAGAAGGACGAGACAAAATCACTTCTTCGCTATATTAATATGGTTTTAGAGAGATTTGAACGAAGGGTTGTTCCTGAGTGTTTCTCCCGTCGTGAAAGGTAACATTACTTTTATTGTAGGCATGTTAGGAAGATATCATAACAACTTAAGCGTGAATTACTGGTGAGCTATAAGGAAAATGACGAGGTATCCTCCAGAAACAAAAACTTATTGTAAAAACATTTTTTTTTTAAAATTCTCTGCTTTATAGCATAGCCTTTGTAGTTTCAGTGAAATAAGTTTATTAGTGCTGCATCAAATCCTGTGAAACTTTTATCTTCCTCTCTCTGTGCATTCTTAGCCTATTTTATTCCTCCTCATTTTGTAAAGGTTTACTAAACTCCCTCACATCCTTAGGGTCATAGATACCTCATGATTATGAATTCATGGGGGCAAATGTTAAGAGCATTTCACACTGCTTTCTATAGTTTCTGTTTGATTCATAGTTCTTAAAAATTAGGGACATTTGCATACATACCACACAATTCTTTTGTATTACATATTTAAAACCGAAACATTCATTTCTACATGCAAACCGCTCAAAATTTTAATATCACATCAAAAATACAGCTATCACATTTTCTTTAAAAGTGAAATACACATTTTCATGCATAGATTTATGACATCAGTGTTATTAATGTAAATATCTAACACTAGATGTTAGATATGTAAAGACATAAGAATTGTGTGGTATATATGTAAATTTCCTTAAACATTAACATTACAACAAAATTTTTGACACTTGTACAATGTCCGTTGTGATAGGCCAGAGACGTGTGGTTCCATGTTGATGCTGCATATGCTGGCAGTGCTTGTATTTGCCCTGAGTACCGTCACTGTATTAATGGCGTGGAAGAAGCTGATTCATTTGGAATGAATGCACATAAATGGTTGCTAACAAATTTTGATTGCTCCTTGCTTTGGGTTAAGGTATCTGTACTTAGACATCTGATTTAAGCCTTTGGATAACAAGCATCTTCTTTTGTTTTATGCTGAGAAATCTGGGAAAATAGTATTCTATTAATTATGAATATTCTTTGCAATAGATTTTGTATTTAGTATTGTATTCTCGTTATGATATCCTGGTTAAATTGCCTGGTTTATTCTGTTGTTATTCGTAGTATATATTGTTGGCCCTGGATTGGCTGAGGTTTTACACCACTTAGGTAAGAGCATATAAAAAGAAAAGCGGATGGACAGAATGAGATGGAAAGAGATTTACTCAATCTTAACTGTATGAAGTGATTCTTCTCCTTATTTCTTCGGCGGTCTCCCGTATTTAATGGTTTGGGTTGTTCGAGAGTGAGCTTCATACATGGCTACATAGATGGCTACCTAAAAACAGAGAATATACATTGAACTGAATTATAGTGTGTATTGTAGTGGCTCCCTAACTTTGTTTGACTATGAAACAAGTTAATGAAGTCATCTTGGCTTGCCTAGTTTGCTGGAAAATTATTTTGCCTAACTGGTTGGGTGAACTGATCGGTCAAGCAGGCCGGCTGAGCTAATTTGCCAAGTTGGTTGAAGTCGGCTATCACCTTATGTTTTGTTTGAAAATGCTTATAGAATATTTTGTCAGATCTTGATCCTTAATCACATGTCAAGTGCCGGCCAATGTGCATGTGTGTTTGTCGATTTCAAAGAATAGATATACGTGTGTGTGTCTATATATATTTATATATATATATATATATATTGGCATTTTTTACTTGATTTCATGCGGGTCATGCATTCTTCTATTCATGAGTACAGGACCGAAGTGCGCTCATTCAATCCCTGTCCACTAATCCAGAATTTCTTAAAAATAAGGTAAATTTCTCTGCTACCAATAATGGACTGTTAAATTCATCTGCAAAGAATTTTTATCAGTGCTGACATTTTTCAATAGAAAAATCTCATGTTGACCGAGACGTTTATGTTTATGAGCTCTACCGTTGATTTCTTATAGATGTCCACTTCTTCAGGCATCTCAGGAGAAGGCAGTTACCGATTTCAAAGACTGGCAAATTCCTTTAGGACGTCGTTTCAGGTGCAAAACAAACAGTTTCAAACTTTGAACTTGAGAACATGTAATATGATTAGGACTGTAAATGAGCCGAATTTGAGTCAACTCGGGTTAATTATGTTCAAAATTGGCTTGTGAACTGTGTGTTTTTCTTTGGCTTGAATTTGTCTCTTTTAAATTAAATAGAAAAATTGATGCAGGGTGTTGGATTCAAACTCGCATCATTTTATACAATAAAAGACACAAAACCTTATGACCACACAAGTTGTAGTGATTTGGACTTTTAGATATATATATATATATATAATATATATTAATATTGTATATAATTTTCTTATTTCGAGATAAAACGAGCCGAAAACGATCGAAAAAAAACGTCGTTCATATTCGGCTTGTTTATAATTGAAGTTAAAAAAAATTGTTTATGTTCGGCTCGCTTACGTAACGAATGATTTGAATATGAGCTATTTAACGAGTCGAACCCTAACTGTTCGCAAATAATGAGTTTTTTAACAACACTAAATATGATGCAAGAAAATATTCTATACACGTGGAATAATCTGTAATCCTTAGAGGGATTTGAAATTAAAAGAACAAAACAATTCCTTATTTAAAAGAAAGTGTCAAAATGGTCTCTTGACATTTTGTTGGGGTCACTTTAGTTATGGGTTTTAAATCTGTTTCATGAGTCAACACAAAATTGATCCTACCCGGAATTGCTTGACCCAAACTTGACTAGGATATTAAATGGCTTAGAAAATTCAACCCGAAGCAACCCACTTTCAACCCCCTGACACGAAGCTGACCCATATAAGTGTTTTATATAAGGCATAACAATTATTCGGGTCAGTTTAGAGACAATTTATGGTTAATTTTGGTTTGGCGGGTTGATATAGGGTTTGTGGGTCAGTTTTGGATCAATTTCAGGTTGTCCGATCAACTTGAACCAAGCCTGAAAAGTTAGATGGATTAGGATTCCTAACCCGAAACTAACCCAAAAATTATTCTACTAAACTCGAATATAGATTTTTTGAGTCGAGTTCGGGTTGAGTTGGTGAGTTAGGTCAATTTTTGACACATCAATTTTAGTCACAGAGTCTACAAAAGTGTCTATTGGTCCCCATGCTCTTTTAATACGGGCTAAATAGTATTTTTTGAATACTATTTCAACTCCTATTAAAAGTGTCTATGAACTAAATTGGCACTTTTTATAGATTGCGAGATTAAAATGGTCCATTTAAATTATCAGGGACTATTTTAACACTTTACCTCTCGCTTAAATTAACATTGAAAGAATGAATACTTAGCTTAAGTTTATGCTGTACTTGTCTCATAAGTCTCAAACATTAATATAATGGGGCATTTACACACATTGCACACAATTCTTATGTATTTACATATGTCAAGCCAAAACTTCCATATTTAGTTATTTACATGCATAGTACTCGAATCTTTAATATCATATAAAAAACCACTATTGCCATTTTTAAAAAGTGAAATAGATTTTTTCATGCATAGGTTTAAATTATCAAAGTGCTATTTATGTAAATATGAAAGTTTAGGCATGAGATATGTAAGTTCATAAGAATTGTGTGCGTTCATATGTAAATTTATCTAATTAATTTGGTACCACGGAATTACGAGCAATCTGATGATTGCTTTCCTTGACTGAGTAGTTCTCCCATCTTCTTCTACTCTGCTCCAAAAGTTCTCTGTGTTTATTGCTTGTGTTTCTTTGCAACTTATAGTGCTACTAACATAGTTCTTGAAGTGAATGTTAATTGCAGATCTTTAAAGCTATGGATGGTTTTGAGAATGTATGGCCAGGAAAATCTGCAAAATTACATCCGTAACCACATAAACCTTGCAAAACAGTTTGAACAACTTGTCCAGTCTGATTCAAGGTTTGAGGTAAAATATTTTTTTTTCTTGTTTTGCTTATACATTAGAAAGAAAAAGTCTAGCTTTTTAGGCTATTTTTATTTTAAGCTCACGTACATATATGTATGTGTTGTGTTTTGAACTCAAGACTTTAAAATTGTAAACAAAACATCCAACCCTTAGGCCAATAGGCTGTAGATGTTTTTTAAGGGTTTGTTTCGGATCAAATTTATTTTTAATTTATTTTGTTTTTTTCCTTTTACTTTAAAAGCATTTTGTTATTGAAAGAAAAGATAATTCCAATATTAACCTCCACGCTATTTTTTACCCCCTCCCGAGCTGATGAGCCTTGATGGAGAATCAGCTTGTGTGAAAGGAGAGTGTCTAGAAGCCAGTATAAGTTTGGTCAACAGACATGATGTGGTGAAGAATCCAGTGGTAGCTCTTCTATCATCTAGATTGGTGGCCCAATCAACATCTGTGTAGGCTGTAAGTGACAGATCACCTGAGACAGTTGGTACTTAGTTGCGTGTGGCATTGAGGTAGCGAAGTAGTCGTTTGAGGAGCTGGTGGTGATGTAAGAATGGTTGATGCATGTATTGGCTGAGGAATTTTACTGTGTATGTGATATCCGGACGGGTTATTGGGAGGTATTGAAGGGACCCAATGGTTTGACGTAATTGATGACGTGTTTTTGGGGGGGGGGGGGTGTGAGGAGAGGTCTGGATTCTGCCATGCCATTAGCCTGAAGTATGTCTGTGAGATATTTGGTATATTGAATAAAGTATCCGTTTGTTTTGTAGTGGACGTGAAGGCCTGGGAATTGGGAGTTGGGTCCGAGTTGGTGTCAGCCGTTATTTTTTTAGGAAAGACAAATTTTTGTAAAATATGAAAATAGTTTTGATGTAAATATGATTTTTGAAATTTTTGACCAAACGAGTCTCACATATTGAATAGTTTGGATGACTGAACGCGATACCACAAGTAATACACTATCCCAAAGGATAAACATACCACTTGACAGTGGACTCAACCACTTAAACTAAGGAGTTTGTGACATCTGTTTGGTCTGCAAAACCTTTTATGTATGACCGACAAGTTTCCCTACCTAATATAAAGATTATATAAGGTTTATTTTACCCGGGTTCCAAATTCACTATAGAGGCAAACCCCTATAGTTAATTACATCTTAAATGATCGGGGTTACTTAAAAAGACTCTCGATTAAGATCAGTGATTTTACCTTCCAGATTTCAAAGTTTAGGTTTTCAAGATTGGCACGAGAAAATCAAATGGGAGTGGCTCAAATAAGTAAAGTTATTTTACGGAATCCAAAAGAGCGAAGAGTAAGGGATATCACAGATTCAGGGAGAACCCCGGTGACCTCCCAACTATCCTATTGTTTGACTTAATATCTTTGAAATAATGTTATTCAATGTTTAATCATGTAATTTTTTTTTAGAATTTAGGACTTACATTCGTACGATATCTAATCGTGCAACTAGCCTTGAAAGATAGGAAGACTTACACCGTACCGGACGGTTATCTCGGAATCTTAAAAGTGTTAGGACTTATAATTGC